GGAGGAGGAGGAGGAGGAGAAGGAGGCATCCCCAATCCTCCCCCCATCTGCGCTCGAGCGCCCGCAGGGGCATCCGCCCCTCAGAAAGGGCCATGCAGCGCCCCCCGCATCCCGCAGAGACGCGCAGGCGGGCTGGCCAGGGGGAAGCGGCTCGGGGAGAATGCTAGGGGATGATGGGGGAAAGAACAATGACAGAAACATCAACAAAACGGAAATCCGCGCGGATTTCTCGGATCCGCGCTGGACCCCCCTGGCGGCGCCTTCGGCGCCGCCCCTGGCGCGCTCCGCGCGCCAGGGAGGGTGGTCCAGCGCCGAGCCGAGAAATCCGCGCGGGCCACCGAGCTTTTATGTTTATGTCATTGTTCGCTCCCCGCAATGAGGCTCGAAGGTTCGTCAACGGGGGGTGCAATAAACGTGGGGTGAAGAAACGCGCACCGTTTGTGCACCCTCCGGGCCCCGCGGTATCGTCCAGAACTGTTCTGGCGCCCCGCGGCCCAGAACAGTGGCCCCAAAGGCCGAAGATGGCCAAGCAGCTCCCGCCGTGATCCTTTCACGACGCGATGGGGGTCTGGGCCCGCGGTTCGAAACCCGACAGCTGGACGCCTCCTGGGGTGCGTTCTGGCCAAGATCTCGAGGAGAAGCCCAGCCGTGGCCACGGGGGCGCCCCAGGAGGATCAGGAACGTCACGGAAGCCTCGACTCCTTGATCCTCGACCCTCGTGACCTCTTCTTCACGACGCGGGAGATATTGTTTGGATTTTCCTCTGGCGCATAACGGTCGTTACTCGGACAACCCACCCCAAGGTGACGGTTGCGATCGTACGTATGGGGGGGGGACCTGGACCCCCCCACATGCTGGTGCCCGAACGCATAATACTATGGCGATTGCAACGCACCCCGCCCAGACCCCGCCCAAACATGCCCTAACCCGCCCAAACGTTCCTGTTACCCAGGCCCCCCACCCCGGATAACGACCGCCACTGGACATGATTGAAAAACAAAATCACGGGGTCCTGCGGCATCTCGGGCGGGCGGCAGTGGGGATGCAACAGGCGGGATTGAGCGCTGCCAGAAAGTGGCCCTGAAGGGGCCCTAAGCGACCCCTAAAGAAGCGGGCCCCAGGGAAAGTCTCGAAATCCAGAGTGTCCAAGGCCGTGAGCAGGCCACGACGCTCCGGAGAAGAATCGAGTTGGAATCGGCGATACATCGCCGATAGTTCGACGACAGGCCCCCGAGAGCGAAACCGCATGGTCCTGGGCGGGGTAGACTATCGGGCCCCGTGCGCCCTCCCCTTGAGCCCATCTCCCCCTAACGTTGCCCCTAGCTTTCGTGTCAAAACTCAAGAGATCGCTCTTTCATCCATTGGGAGGTAACTCGTGATACGGTGGGGGTCGGCGGCGGGCGTCAACGGTAACGGCGGCCAGCGTTCAGACCCCAAAACTCGCCCCCGAAGCACCCGCGTATCGAACGCCTGTGCGTAGCACAACCCCTGTGCACACGACAACGCCTGCGTGAACCACAGCGCTTGTGTACACCATTATCCCGACGCGGCCAAAACTTCGAAAAAACGTGGCGGGCCTGAACGCATCACAGTCAGATTCAGCATGTAGATGATTTGTGATAACTGATCTTTCTGGCCTAGGAAACGGCCCACACTGCGTTGTAGGCCAGCAGTACTCCTGTGCACCACAACGCCTGCACAACATGATGCTTGCGCAACCACAGCAGCTGTGTGCACCACAGCTCCTGGTGACTGCGACCATCAAGATGCTTGTGTACACCACAAAGCCTGTGTACACTGTGTACAACCCAAGGCCCCGACGGGACCCGAACTCTGGAAAATCGTGGCAGGCCCGAGCGTATTACATTCGATCTATGAAATTTTTGTGGGTATTGATGTTTCTCGCCTGGGGCACGGTCCGCCCTTCACTTTGGGCCCACGATGCCTTCGTGCATCACAGCGCCGGTGTACAACGCGATGCTTGCGCCACCACAGCAGCCGGGTACACCACAGCCTCTGGCGCCTGCGCTCACCACAGTGCTTGTGCACACGCCTGTGTGCACCACCAAGCGTGCGCACGCCTCCAAAGTACCGGCGCCAGAAACTCGCAGCGGGCTCACATGCGTATCAAATTCAATATGGCAGTAATTTGTGACTATTGAATCTGGCCCAGCATCATTCATCATCAGCATCATCTGATTCAGCATCATCATCATCAACAGCGTCATCAGTACCATCATCGCCATCACCATCATCATCATCATCATCATCATCATCATCATCATCATCATCATCATCATCATCATCATCATCATCATCATTATCGTCATCGTCATCGTCATCGTCATCGTCATCATCATCATCATCATCATCATCATCATCATCATCATCATCATCATCGTCGTCATCATCATCATAAGCATCAGCATCACCAACAGACTCATCATCATCAGCAGCATTATCATGAACCTTCTCAAGGGTACATCCACTAGACCACGAGCCTTCTCAAGCGGTTCGTGATGCTGGAGGTTGAGTTCAGTTTCAAGGTGAAGCTACTCCAGAGTTCGGGTACTTCACGACCACCATCTTCTTCTTCGCAGTATGATCATCATCTTCATCACCATCAACATCTCCACCACCATCATGATCATGATCATGATCATGCTCATGATCATGATCATCATCATCATCATCATCACCATCATCATCATCATCATCATTAGCATCATCATCCTGATCAGCATCATCATCATCAGCATCATCATCCTGATCATCATCCTGATCATCATCATCATCGCCATCATCATCATCATCATCATCATCATCATCATCATCATCATCATCATCATCATCATCATCATCATCATCATCATCATCATCGTCATCCCTCCCCCTCGCATGCCAGCGGGTGATTCTAAGAAATCACGTTAAGATCAGTAGGAACTACATGGGGGTCCCTACAAGGTGTCATGGAAGCTGCAAAACTTCAAGCCTGCGGCTGGTTCCCAAGCGTTACCATGACGGGGGGGTCAGTAAGGGGTTAACAATTACCCCTGGAGCCTAATAAATAACAATCACCAGCTCTCTGGCGACCGTTCGGGACGATCTGGGCACCCCCGGAACGCTTCCGGCGAGGCGCAGCTGCTGAAAGGAATCGCGAGGTTGGAAAGTCGCCAGAAATCGGGGAAGATGCTCGAACTACGAGGGCAGCGACTGCACATCTTGTAAGGACACCAAATCCCCGACATATATCTGTAACAGATCTGACTCGATCGATGATGACATCCAAGATGACCTCAAGAGGGCCCCCAAGAACTTTCAAGATGACCCAAGAGAGCCCCAAGAAGGTCCTAAGAGAGCCCCCAAGTAATGTGGCCCCAAGAGAGCCCCAAGAGGGCCGCAATAGGGCCCCGCGATGGCCCTAGGATCCTGCAAGAGGCTCCCAGAGCGTGACTGCATGCTGCTACACATCCCTGAACAGGGCAACTCGCCTGATGATTGTTTTGAATGGGCTGGTGGGGATAGACGAAGCGTCAAGACGCCAACAGATACAGACTGCAACGTAGATAATCGTGATCCCCCCTTGCACGCCTGCCTGTGACACCTTCGCTTTGCCTCACTCGCGCATCTTGCCCTCGCTGCTTGAGATCATCTGCTGCCAGGACGCCGACCATTAAATATTGCCTGCAGAAACTGCACTGCCGTACCCAATTCACGACAGAGTCAAACGAACAGGCGTGCCACCACATTAACAGATTTAAGTAGAAAAAAGTTCCCGCTTGCGGGTGGAGTCGCTCTTCCCACACGAGCTCCACATCGTGCAGTCCGGATTATAGCGCCGGCTCATTCATCCTCCCCTGTCCCCTCCTCCTCCTTCTCCTCCTCCTCCTCCTCATTCTTCTCCTCCTCCTCCTCCTCCTCCGCCTCTTCCTCACGTCTTCCCTATTGCTGTGGCCAATCCTCCTTTCCCCCCCTCCCTCATCCCTCCTCCCTCATTCCTCCTCCTCCTCAACATCATCATCAGCATCATCAGCATCATCACCATCATCATCATCATCATCATCATCATCAGCATCATCAACATCAACATCAACATCAACATCAATATTAACATCAAAAACAACATCATCGTCATCGTCATCGTCATCGTCATCATCAGCACCATCATCATCACCACCATCATCATCATAATCAGCATAAGCATCATCATCATCATCATCAACAACATCATCATCATCATCATCATCATCAGCATCATCATCATCATCACCACCATCACCACCACCACCACCACCATCACCATCACCATCACCATCATCAGCATCATCATCATCATCATCATCATCATCATCATCATCATCATCATCATCATCATCATCATCATCATCATCATCATCATCCGCCTCCTCCACCTCCTGCTCCTCCTCCCTTCCGCCTTATCCCTCCCCCCCGCCATCCCCGCCTCCCCCCTCTCTCCAACTCCCACACCCCCTCCTCCACATCCGCCTCCTCCTCCTCCTCCTCCTCCTTTCCTCCTCCTCCTCCTCCACATCCGCCTCCTCCTCCTCCTCCTCCTCCTCCTTTCCTCCTCCTCCTCCTCCTCACCCGCCTCCTCCCTCCTTCCTCGCTCCCTCGCCATCCTACACCTCCTCCGTATTGCTGGCAGCAACGCGAAAGCTGCAAAGATGCATGCCATAAAAAGGCCACGGGCTAATGCCACGCAGCCGCGAGTCACCTTCCCAGCAACGGAATCAGGTCAGGACCCAGACGTACCGCCTCGAGGCTAGAGGATCGAGGTTCTTGGACGGAGTGGCACTTCTTGGACCTCGAGAAGCCTCTGGAGGTCTCCTGAAGCCTCCAGGGACCTCCAGGGTCCTCTGGGGTCTGGGGACCACCCTGGTGCTCTGGCGAGCTACAGCACCAGCCGAAACGATTTTTGTCTGGCATGGCCCTTTTGGTGTGGCTGCCACCCACCCACCCACCCCTCCCTCCCACTCCCTCCCCCCTCCCGACGCCTCCTTCACGAGAGGCCGCGCCGCCCTCCGCGCGCGATCGCCTGCGATCGCCAGGCGCGACAGGAGCGCAGCACCTAGCATCAGAAAGAAGAAGGGTACCAACGCGCACGGGGGGTGGCACGAAACCCAGGCCACCCGACCGCGGAAACTTTCGGTGGCACCTCCTTGAGAGCACGGGGGGCTAGCAGGCCGGGTCGAACCGAAGCCTGACTGCGGCCAAGGATTCAGGCAGAAAGAAGCCTGATCAAGCCATGCTGGGCACAACTAGCTTGGATTGGCACCGCACCTCTGAAATGCAAGGGCTGATGCTTGGCTTAACCTCCAAGGAAACTGAATGTTGAGAAACTGCTCGCCTGCACATGCGAGGCGAGCACTGCAGGATCTAAGGGGGGAGCAGCTGGAGGATGGCGAGGCCGAAGGGGCGGCAGCAGGAGTAGGAGTACAGGAACACGCGGATGGCGAGGACGAAGGTGAGCGGGGGGCCCAGGGCGGGGGGGGCGGAAGGGAGGGGGGGGAGGGCGAGGGCCAAGAGGGGGAGGGAGAGGCGAGGGGGAGGGCAAGAGGAGGAGGAGGAGGAGGAAGAGGGTGAGTGGAGGAAAAAGGGGAGGAGGGAAAGACGGAGGAGGCCTTGTTAACCCAGCTTAGCGTGGTCGCGCAGGTTGTTCCAAAACAAACGTCCCTCGAGACCGCTCTTACCTGTGATGCGTCACCTAGGCCCGGGATGGCCACCAGTGCAAAGGGGGGACGGAAATGCGGATTCGGGAGCCATGGCGGGATCAAATCACAAACGGAGAGAGATTAGCACAGAAGCTGAGCTCTGGCACCAAAAGGGGTCAGTGGAGCCCAGTCGTGGAGGCCTCGCATGGCTTGTCGGCTAAACCGGAACAGCAGCTTAAAAGCACGTATGCTGTGCCGATCCATCATGCCGGGTTTACGAATATTGCCCCCCTGGCCATCGACCGTTGGACTCACGTGTTGTGCTGAGCAGCGGCAGACCTCCTGCGGAGCTATTGTTGTCTGTGAGGCGTTTGCCATATCTGCCGGGTCCGCTTGTTCGTAGCTAGTGGCAGCTGCGTGCGTTGCTCGAGCGTCGTTGGGATGTCCCTGGCACATGGACAGCCCTCCTGCGTAAGGACATGCGGTGGTTGCGCAACGATGTGCTTGACAACGCACAAGAAGCAGCTGGGGAGTGACGGCACTAGCGCTGTGCGTGTTGCCACCAATGACCCGAAGTTGCTTCGCATCTGTGTGAGTGCCGCCAGGAAGCAAGCGGATGTGTGCGGGGTGACGAATGGACTCGCGAGTTGGCGCAGGAGGCAACCGCTGATGTGGCCTGGCGGTGCCCCCACACGATTCGGAAACACGACTGACAGGGAGATGTGTGCTATGAGTGCGGGATTGCTGCTACACAGAAGGCGGAGTGGAGGCGTAGGTGGTCTAAGGAGGCTCCTCTTCCAACCCCCTTCTTCCCCTTCGGGGAGTGGTTTATCACTGCTCCCTATTATAAACACCCCCCTCCCCCAGGCGACCGGAAGCCAACCAAAAACCATGAGGGCACCCCCCCACAATCCGTTGTGGGAACAGTACAAAACACACTCTGCCCCCAAATTCGGAGCATGCGCGGCCAACCCGATGCGGCCTCCCCCACCATCCCTGTCCAAAAACCATACAGAGTACACCCGGCGGCGGCGGCGGCGGCGGCTGTGGCCGCTGCGGTTGCGGCGGCGGCCGCGGCGGCTGCGGCGGCGGCGGCGGCGCGGCGGCGGGGACGGCGGCGGCGGCGGCGGCGGCTGCGGCGGCGGCGGCGGCGGTGGCGGCGGCGGTGGCGGTGGCGGTGGCGGCAGCGGCTGCGGCGGCAGCGGCGGCGGCGGCGATTTGGCAGCGGCGGCGGCGGCGGCGGCGGCGGCGGCTGCGGCGGCTGCGGCGGCGGCGGCGGCGGCGGTGGAGGCGGCGGCGGCGGCTGCGGCCGACTGGCCCCCAGTAGCTGCCCATCCAAAGACGACTGACTGACTGCTGCGGCTCGGGCCAGACTCGGGTGCTACGTATGTGTTGGGAGGGCGGGTGGGGGTGAGCGAGACGGCTTGCGGGCGAGGAGGGAGCGTTGACCCCTCCCCCATACCCTCTCCCTTGGACCTCGACGGACGGTGCCGCGACCCATTGGAGCGTCCAAAACGGCCTCGGCGAGGAAGCCACAATCATTAGTTGTACTAGGGTCTTGACCCCAGTTTGGCCTCTTGGGGGGGGACGGGGCGAATTGCCACCCCCCATTCTTCAATCGATGGCCTCGAAGATGGCGCCCAGGAGGCCCCAAGAAGCCTCATAGTGGCCCCAAGATGGCTCCAAGATGGCCCCGAGAGGCCCCCAGGAGGCCCCGAAGAGGATCTCTAGCGGCCCCAAGAGGCCCCCCCGAGGCACGAAAGACGCCCAAGAGTCCCAGGACCGCCGAGAGACCCCTAAGACGTCCCAAGAGGCCTCCAAGAAGCGCCCAGGAGATATCCCAAGGGGCTCCGAGAGGAATCCAAGAGACCTGTGGCCGTTGTGTTCGTTGTCCTCCTCCCGTTCCTCCTGCCTCATCCTACTCGTTGTCTTCCTCCTCCTCATCCTCCTCCTCATCATCATCATCAGCAGCAACATCAACATCATCACCATCAGCATCAGCATCCGCATCCGTGTCAGCAACATCGTCGTCACCATCCTCATCATCAGCATCAGCACCAGCATCAACATCATCACCATCATTATCACCACCACCACCGTCATCGGCATCATCATCGCTATCGGCATCATCATCAGCATCATCATCATCATAACCATGGTCATCATCGTGCCCATCATCAGCATCATAACCATCATCATCAACATCGTCATCATCATCAGCAGAATCGTCGACCTCATCATATGTATCGACATCATCAGCACCATCACCATCCGACTCATCATCATAATCAGATTCCTTCTCCCCACTCCCTCATCCGTCCATCCAGCCTCCTCCTTTTTCCTCCTCCCTCATTCGCACGGTTCGACCGTCCACCTCTTCGCTCCCGCACTTTCCTGATCACCTCAACTCGCCAGGACATCGTTTCTGGAAGGGTTGGTGGGGATGTGTCCGTCGCGGCCACAGGCGAACGCGTCCGCAGCGGGTCGACGTGGCTCGGGCTACGAGCGAACCTGATTGCCGGCGCGCGCGCAGAAGAAAGCAGGACCTACTGCTGGGGAAGCCGCTGCGCCAAGGCCGCGCTGCAGCTGCGCCGGGGGCCGTGATGCAACCGCCGAAGCTGAGAAACAGCGCCGGTGGGGACTGCAAGCTGCTGGGGCTGCCAGGAGGCTGCGAACGTGCGGGCGCCAAGGGAGCTGAATCACCAGGTGCGTGAATTGGACCTTGTCGCCACAGGGCGCCAAAGGTCTGGGCAACGGACCGACAGGTGACACGCCTGGCCGTCCAAGAAAGCAGAACCACTCTTGAATGAACCAGCGGACCGGAATCCAATAGGGCCAGCCGACAGGGAACCAGAAGCCAAGGAAGTGCAATCACTCGTGCCGGAACTGGTCAGAACGCACGCCACCTGACCGCCAGGGTGCCTCGCCCGGCTCCACGAAAAAAATGACTGCCAAAGGCGCGGCTGGTGGGTATACTTTTTGTTTGGTCAACGGCCTCGTGAAGCGGGTCAAAATGCGTCCAAACTCTAGCCGGGCCACGACGAGGCAGAAGACTGGTGGGTATACGCTAAGCGTCTAGAATTCACATGGTTGGGTTGTCCTGAGTGCGATGAAATGCATAAGTTTGTGCAGGGCACGGTGTGCCTGGTCTTGGGTGGGAATTTCGCTCGAAGCTCCGTCCCTGCAGGCAGCTGAGGATCGGGGGAAGCGCCTGCCTGTGGGCCTTGCGTTCTGCATGCCCATGGACCGTGAGGAGGCGAGCAGCCTCCGAGCGCAGGAGACCAAGTAATCGAAGGAGCTGCAGAAAAGAGGACTTACCAAGAGAAGGCGGTCATACAGGCCTTGCGTATCAATATGCCCCCTCATTCCTCCCGCCCAGGAGGTAAAGCCTCTTCGTGACCCACCTGCCGCGACGCGCGGATGCAAAGCAAACGTGCCCTACACATTGGTTGATTCGCATATATATATATATATATATATATATATATATATACACACATGTTGTTGCGATTTGTCGTCCTGCACCATTTTCGGGTGAGCGTCGTAAACGGGGCTTCCGTGTGGGCTCGACGAGGTCCTCGCGAGAGCCGCCAGTTGGAGACCCTGTCCGCGGGGATCTCAGCAACAGTGCTACGGTCCGCCACTGGACCCAGCTCATCAAAGAGGGGGCCGTGGTCGGGGTTCTGGGCGGGGCCCCTTGGGAAATTTGAGCGTCGGCAGAAGGCACGCTCTAGGTCGTGGCCGCGGTCCCAGGGGTAACGCGGCCGCGTAGAGCATCGGGGCCCTCACCTCGTGAGACAGACAGCAGGTTGAATTAGGCAACGCCTTGCTTCGAACCATGTGCATATGCCCGGTTGCGTGCCAAGCGAGTAGCGCCCCTGGGACAAAGGGGCCCGCTCGTCTTGGCAGTGTGAAAAAAAAGTAGGTATGGCGCTTCCCTCCCCAAGACTGAAAAGGATACGCTGGCTCAGAGCATGTTCGGGTATTTGTCCCAGAAACTCACGACGCTCCTGACTGTGAGAGGTGATCATCAGGGGGCGCGAGGGCGAGTTTCGGACTGCGGCCCTCAAGGCCCAACCAACCCGAGCTCTGCAAGTTTCTAGCTGAATGCACGTGGCAGAGCTTAATGTTTTGACCCCAAAGGGGGAGTTCTCGTAAGAAGTACCCCTTTCAGGCCCAAGGATTGTACGATTGTATGTGGCAATGGGACTTTGCTGAATTTGCTGAGACAGCACGACAGCTCAATAGTGCTGCGCCCACAGCGTGGGGCGCTGGCAGGCGTGTGAACGTTTCTCTGTTAAAACGATCCAATCATAACCCCGATGCGAGAACCGCAGGAACGTCGAATTGCACGAAAAGGCGACGAGGAAGAGGACGAGTGCGAGAGCGCGGAAAGGAATGAGCCAGGAAAAGCAGGGAGGAGGGCGGGGAGCGAGCAGGATAAAAAGCAGGTGAGGGACAAGATTCGGCGAGTGATCTGAATCGGACGCTCCGCACCAGTCTCGGTTGGCCGAACGCACCTCCACAATCTCATGTCGTAGCCGCATCCCGCTGCGCCCTCCTATTCACCCCCAACAGCCACCTCCAGGAAGGGGCAAGGAGGGAAGATAGAAGAGTGAAGACGGAGAAGAGTTACATGCTTCTGGGTGTGTTTGAATGGCCCCACTCCCCCTCATGATTATCCTCGTCCGTCGATTCATACATGTACGTATGCCCAATTTCCTGCGTATACGATTATGCCTCTGTATAAGTGTACGTGGACGTATATGTATAAGCATGCATCTGGCGCGGCCACTCCTACTGCTGCTACTGC